GGGGGGGGGGGGGTGGGAACGGGGTATACGTAGGGGCGACGAACAGGAGTATAGTAGTAGCAGTGGCTATGCAGAGAGAAATAGACCGCACAGCAGCAGCAGTAGTTTCGGAGCAGGTGTGCATGCCTGTCTCCGACAACAACCGTCCGCACAGAGGATGTACCTGTGCAAGCAATACCTGTTGGCACATCTTCTCCACCTCATCCTTGGACAGAGCATACGGTAAGCGCAATTGCTAGCGGCGCTAGATGCGAAGACGCTGACGGGAAACCGCCTGACAGAAGCGCCAGATCGACGAAAGAAACGGCCCGCTCATCAGAGAATCGAGATCATCATCCACTATCGCACAAAATGCATAAAAATCGTGACAAATTTTACTATGCTGTACTACAAGTAGAGAGCTGTGATTGGAGCTGTGATCGGAGCTGTAGTCCCGAAAACCCTTGCCTTTGAGCGACATTTGGCACACAGCAGACGAACACCCTTCACTCCCAAAAGTGGGAACCACACGCACCGCAATTACAATAACATCAAGCACCGAGGCACGTGAGCATCAGCTCCGGTGTGCGCGTTCTCTGCTCTCCCCCGCGGATGCGGCACCGGGTTGATCACATGTTCGGTGCTGTATGTACCCTCCGGCAATGGCATTTTGCGTTTGAATCTTGCGGTACCGGTAGGCAGTAGATTGGATCTGGAAAGGACCTCTGCCCCACGTCAGAGAGATTAGGCATGGGTGAATAGTATTGTACTATGTGAGTCCTGCGCGCATTGCTGACAAGCGTGCTATGGGGGTAGGCTGCCTGTGTCTCCCGGCTGGTGTCTATATATGTTTTTTGCTCTTAGCCGAGGCACAACGGCGATCTTTCGGCCGCGCAAAGTGATCGGAGCTGAGAACGGAGCTGAATCGGCCTGTAGTCACGCAAGGGTTAAAAGCCTGCTGTCCGACCGGACAAACAAGAAGAGCAACTAATTTAGGTGCGGAGGAAATACTGTAGACCGGGTTTGCGACTAAAGTCGTGGGCCCGGTTTAGCGGATCCCTGTTTAGCGGGATGCCCTGAATAGCGGTTATACTAGATAGGGCGGGGGAATGAGCCGATGGGTAGCGACTCAATACCTTGCAGTAGCCTTATCTGCGATCCTGATGGTGCACGAATCCCGGCACACAGCAGCGCGAATCGTTTGTGGTGCAGCTACGCGTGCACCAGAGGGACAGGCTGCAGGGGTGCGACGGGCGCGACGATGGTTGTATGTGCGGCCCCGTTCAAAGTTTTGCACTTCACACTTTACATGCGGTTGTTTCTTTTCCGTTGATGCACACATGCACACACCCACGAAGAAACGAAATGTGAAGTCTTCCCGCTGTTCGGGGACGCACATCAGGGCATCTGGAAGAGGCATGCATGCGGCATATACCTTGTCGGCGAGCGTATCGCACATCACACCGTCGAAAAGCACGACCAGCAGCGTAGACATAGGATTGTGACAAGACAGATGGCAAATATTGCGTTAGGCTCACAACTTGCCCGTCGCATTAGTCACAAGCGTCCGAGTTTCGCGACAAGTGAAAGAAAGCAGTCTACATTACGTATCATGCATCACAGGACAAAAACAACAAAGCCGTTGATGATGGTCGTGAATTTGATGCGACAAGCAACGGCAGGCAGGGCACGGATTTTACGAAGACAGTCAGTAGCGCGGCGCAAGTACGCAACCTGAACCGATCCCGCGGGGAACCATCCTGATAACGCACAGAAGCAGGAGCCCCTCACGCCCTCGACGGATTCTCTCTATGGTAGGTGCGATCTCTGGACTTGGGATGGTGTGTCGTGTGTTGTTCGTTTGTGGTAGTCGGTCTGCTGTTGTTTTGGGAGTCGGTTGCACCACTCAATATCAATAAACACCCGCCAGGTTACACACGGCGCGTGACTATACCCACGGCGCACAGGTCGTATTGGCCCGGCCTCTCCTGATTTTCATAGATAGCTTGTGTCGGATCAGCGTCCTGTTTTTCTCCTTCTGCTGATATGGTGTTGTCCTCCCGGGGTTTGAACTCTGCCGCATGTCTGTGTGTGTGTGCAATCTCCGATAGCTTTGGCATTTCACCGCTCCACAGCTCCTGGGCATGCGGGGACGCGATCTCCTACGAATTTGGGTCACATATGCCTGTGAAGCAAAGCCATCTTTTGCCGAAGCACGACCAAACCGGTGTGACCAAGAGCGCGTAATTTTTCTTCTTCCTCAAAAGTGAATAGATCGTCGAACCGTGCCCTATTGGTCTTGTTCTGGTCCGAAAGGTGCGATGAATATGCGTCACGGAAATCAAACCTTGCTCCCGATATTTCGAGCCTTTTCTTCCTTCCTGGGAGATGAAGGGAAAAAAGAGCGCTCTTCGCGCTCCGCGGCTCATAATAATCTCGTGACACGGCTGCACCCCATTTTAGCGGCTAAAGAACCGCTCAATCGGTCGTGCCCTGAATAGCGGTTATGGACATGTTTTCAGCCACCAATAGCGGTTATCGTTTCAAAATTTGCGGAGACCTAGCGCGCGCTTCGCTTGCGTACATACTCACAGCACACAACGACATTGGTCAGGTTGATGCCCATAAAAGCACACAGCGAGACACACACACACACACCAAACGACGCAGGGGTAGAGAAGGATTGCCGAAAAATAACTGTAAAAACGACGATGAGAGTGATGGTGGTGAAAGAAAGAAGGATGATGGTGAAAGCACTCCAAAACGAACTCGATTGCAAGGTAGCAGCCTTGAACATGTGCAGTTTTCCTCTGTTGCTACCGTTTCTGTCTTTAATCTGGAGAATAGCTTAGCTGGGACCCCATGCCACCCCCTCACGGGGTCCCAGTCAATGCCATTCAGATGTGTTTCGTGTTTGCAACCGCACTGAGACTTACTGAGAGTGACGTCTTTTCATTGGTCAGCCGGAAAGAGCGGTCGATGCTAATCATAAAGACACAGACATCATGCGACGCGTGGATGGAGAACTGTGCAAGCTTTCAGATGCGGCACTGAGTCCAAGCGGCGCGCACGATTGTCAAGGTGGCCGTGGTGGCCGCCTACACGGGATGCATGTGTGGGGAGGTGGAGGATCTGGATGGCAAAGAGATGCAACCAGTGTGCAACCAAGAACGCGCAGAGTTCCCCTGGCGTCTCAAATCCGCCCCACCGCAAAGAGGTGGAAGGTGACTTTCCAGCACCAGGCGCGCGGAACAAAACAACCCGCGCTCTAGCTGCACAACAGACCCACACGCGGCTCCACTTTGGCCAGAAGCTTCAGGTTTTGAAGCTTCTTGACCAGAAGAAAGTGCACTCGGAAATAGCGCGCAGGGAGAGATCGTCGAAGCTTTGCGTACGGCGCAAAATACGAGGTCGTTAAAAGTTATCCAGTATGTACACGGAGGGGCCTATCCCCTCCGACGACGACCTAGAGCTAGCGCTAGATAACACGGCACAAGTTGACGGTGCGAAATGGGTGACGGCGCCTTCGCCATACTCGGAAGTATCATCGGATTTTGGCCAGCTTGAAGAGCGCGGAGTCGCGTGGCGTGACCGATGCAGCACGCTATCTTCGCAAGGCAAAAATGGCGTTCCCCGCAGCGCACGCCGCTCAACCAGCGCGCCAGGCAGATATCATAGAGATTATTTTGCGTTGAGAATGATCGATACGCAGCACATGGCAGAAGTGAGATGCTCAAGCATGTGGTTGGTTGCAATTGCGTTGTCATGAGTTTGTCTCACCTTCGTTAGAGACGCGAACGATTTTCAAGCCTTGATGGGGGGCATACAGTCTAAAAGGGAAAACAAGCTTCGTGCTTTAGCGAATTGAACTGCACTACGAATGAATGTACTTGCTGCGTTGTCCCATTAAGCTCGTTACTTCTTCATCTGCACCTTCGTATGACTGCAGCAGTGAGACACATGCATGGCCACATCAAGATGAGCTTTCGACGCTACTCTGGTTGGGCAAAAATGGGCTTCTTCTCGGTCTAGAGGTTCATATCCGCTGTTGAGCCTCCTGGGTTTAGCGGTTCATGACTGCTAAAGAGGTGTAGCGACGATGCCCTGAATAGCGCTCATAAAATTTCGTGACACTATGGACCGCTAAACCGGACCCACGAGTGTATTTTCACTGCTGTGTGCGGCAATTCCTGTAGTGGTATGCATACGAGGAACGTAAAGTGCCGCGCGCGGGCCAGAGATAAGGAACGCCAGAATCGGGTCGAGGCTAAGTTTCTTATTTCTTCGTCTTGTGCTGTCGAGCACATGTAGGGTTTAATGTAAGGATCCACTGCTCGCTGTCAGTCGCTCAGGCGTGGTTTCTGAGCCCCACTTTCTTATTTGTCGTAAAAATTCGAGCCTCCGTCTACATTGCGGGCCCGTTCTGTGTGACCCAAGGGAAGAAAAGAGTTGACCCCGCCGAGGCTGCTGTGGTTGGTTGGTCGATTAGACCAAAGGTGCTTCGAGTTGGTTGATTAGACTAGGTTAAACATATGCGTCCTCGGACAAAACGAAACAAAACAAAACAAGACATGACGCGCGGCGGTGAATTTTTTTGAAGCAAAGCGCATAATATTGTGCGAGGCGTGGCACACTCCTCCCTCCAAGTGACGGCAACCCCTATTGTAGATGATATGCATAGGAGTGTGAGTGTGGCATCGACGGCGCGTGAGAAAGCCAACACCAAGGAGCACAATTTCCCCTTGTGGTGGTTGTTGTCTTCACAGTAACAAACCGTTCCGTTCTCCACCCAGTACCTTCTGATGTCCGTATTGGTCCAACTGACGCGGACGCCTTTCGTGGTCACAAGCCAACTGCCCCACTAAAGGTGTAGTTCAAAGTCTGCACCCGCATCGAGCAGGCGTTTAATTCACCGGGAAAATCCTGCTTGGGTTCGGGCGCGGGGTTGCCTGGTGCGCGCTACTGAGAGGGGTTCCGGGAGACTTGTTACGCAGCAGCCTTGGCAGGTTTTTTGTATTAGGCAAACATGTTGAGTAAAGCATACAGTCGGGAAAGTTGGGTTAGGGTTAGGGTTAGGGAGTAGGGTCTGCGTACCCCCTCCCTGTTCTATTTCCTTATTGAAATTTCCGCGAAGGCGGTCCGCTGTGCGAGGCTTGCAACTGCTGTTTCCCCCAGATCCCAAACCTGTTTCGATCGTGTGTGCACGTGGCAAGCACCACTGAGACGACCTTTCAACTTTGTCGAGACCAATCGTCGATGGGTGGCGAGCATTTTCAGGGTAGGCGACCTTGCGCCTTTGTCGAAAGCAATGGTAGATGCAGGCAGCAAAGGCACATAAGGAGCCTTTTTCTTGCATCCCGATTAGCACCCTATACCCTTACCCAACCCTAACAAACATTCCAAAGGGACGTGAGGTCGGTGCACCGTTGATGGGTACTAGGTAAACGCTAAGTTCAAGGCATGCCTTCTTTGCCGTGAGGGTTGAGCGACAGTATCCTGTTGGGTGCTGCACCTACTTGAGCTCAAGTCTTGCCACCGAGGCAGAATAGAGAGACGTCAGCCGAAAAACGGCTGTGATTATGTTCTTTGCATGTAGCGCCGGGATTCCGTTGCCGTGCGGGCCGTTCACAGAAGTCACAGGCCAGCATTCCGTTCTTTAGAGCCCGGCCAGGGAGAACCACCATTTCAAGTCACTTGGACCTAGGATGAATTCTAGGCGTTTAGATTGTTTCCTCGTGCTGCTTGGCGAGTAGCTGCGATTCTCTCGCTCTTTCTGGAGCTCTCGTATTTTCCCTCCCTCATGCCCCGCGCATACATGGCTCCACAGCCGCGCACACTCTCGCTCCACATCCATGTGCCTTGAAGGGGTGTACACCCTTTCCAACTTAGCCATACACAGGACAGTGCTTTTTTCTTGCTGCACTGTTTCTGTGTTGTGCATTATACGTGCGGGGTTGTTGGCAGCTGGAACGTCCGGTTTGACCTGCATAACGTACTTGTACCTTTTGGTGTCGCGTCTCCACCTTCCACGCATATCCTTATCTGTCCAGGAAACCCCATACGTTGCTCCCTGGTTTGTTACTACTGGGAGAGGGGGGGGTGGGGGGGGTGGGGTGTACTCATCGTGTTGCATGCCGTAGTCGTTAGGCCATTGACCTCGCATCCCTACAAAGCCGGGACGGAGCACGCCGGGTTCTCACCGGACCAGGCTCTTACACCACCAAGCGCGAAGCGCCGTGAGATATTCGGCGAGTCGCATGAAGGGTGCGCTGCATCCTGCTAAGGGTTTTCGGCATCTTGTGCTTACTTCCTTGCGTACGGATGACAGCTGCGTATGACTTGATTT